CTAGTTGGCAAAAAGTCAAAGTCCTAAAATCCAAGCAAAATGCACCAAAGATAACGCATACATCAAGATGCAGACATGCATTTCCCCAACACGGCCGTACAGCATAATACCACTGCTCGAAAGCACTGCGGTATCGCCTGGAAGAACATGCCGATGATGGCCATCATGGCCAGGCGGCCGTTGGCAAGCTCGGCGGAAAGCTTCTTGGTCTTCTCCTCCGGATCCGAGGAGGTCAGGACCTTGAAGCCGTAGTCTCCCGGAGTGCCGGTCTTGTAGTCCTCAAAGCCACCGCTGAACTCCACAAAGCCAAAGTAGGCGGCGATCTGCGCCCATCCTGCCACGGGAACCTTGGACACGGCAGCCAGCCCGTTCGGGATGTCCGCGAACTTCAGCCCGGCTGACGGAGACAGGAAGCCTGGCCTTAGGCGGAGGTGATGCGGTAGCAACGGGGTGATGTCAATAAGCTTGAATGCATTCTATGCTCGCAAGTGCTGCCCATCAGCTGACACCAAAACACCACAAGTTGGCCTGGCAGGCATGTCACGTTGTGTTCCGTCATGATACGCTGATACGCTAGGCATGTCATAGCATGTGACACCGTGTTATGTTATGTCAGGTCGTGGCATGGCATCTTTCGGGTCATGCCATGTCATGCCATCTTGCATTGCCTCATGCCGCATTCACAAGTCTCTGCTGCCAACATCAGGGCTGAATTGATCACAGCAAACGAGCACGCATGCACAGCGAATGCACCAAGCACGCACCACACACCAACACCCAGCTCGACTCATTCAACTCAGCTCCAGGCAGCTTGCCCGTGATCTCAGGGGTAATGTAACCTCAGCCAAGACTCTTACTCTTGCCAGCACTTTTTGTGTTCAATGCGTTCCTGCCCAACCGCTACCACGTCCTCCTGTGCTTGCTGTGCTGTTCAACTCATGCGACATGTATCAGCCAAGGAACAACAAGAAAAGATTGAACAGTTCTACAATGACTTTTTTCTGCCGATGGTAACTGTGTTGCTCTGCACAAGGCTCAATGATTATTGCATGTCATGCTTCGCCATGATCAATGTTACTGGTTCTTCTGCTTCCCCGTTGCTGCTGTTACTTCTTTTGGCTACTGCTTGCTGCTGCAATTGATTCTACTGCTTCTACTGTTTCTACTCCTCTTTCACAAATGTCTAGTCCTTCTATTCCTTCTACGTCTTCTTCCGCCGCACGAGCTAAGATCAGCCTAGACACCCATGGCGGCCATCATGGAGATACGTCCGTGCTTCAGCTCCACGGATCGGCGGCGCTTGAATGTCGAGACATCGCCATCGGAGGTAAATCCGACGGGGTCCCAGAAGCCCACTGGCGCTTGCACCCCGAGCTCGCTCTCGAAGGCACGCAGGGGAGAGGCAGTGTAGTTGGCCCAGTCACCCCAGGCGCTGCCAGTCAAGCCATCCTGTGCGAGATTTCAGCTAGCAATTACTGAGTAACTACTGGGATCAATGAAGTGATAAGATGCAGTATGATGCACTATGACGCACCAAGCACGTACGCATACATGCTGTGAATATCAAGGAAACGGGCTGATGTCACCAACCCTTGTGATTTATATCAGCCAATATGACTTTTCTGCATCTTGAAAGTCTGATGTGATCCAACACAGCGAGTACCGTTCATCTGTCTCATCTTTCAATCAAGGATCAGGAGTAGTGAGCCAAATGGTGTTAAAAAACAACAAATCTATAAAGCACAGATTGAATACCGTGCATTTGTCAATAAGTTCATGCGGCATGTATTACCCTCCCTCCAACAAACATAGCCCTGAAGATGACTTTCCTCTTGCCCTGTGTCAGTTGCCATGTTAGTGAGAGAGAGGGTAATCTGCCTGAACTCACCACGCAAGCTGGGTATCTGTGACGTGTTGCTTATCCTCATCACCTTTTAACTCTGCCAGCAACATAAGCAGCATAGAGTCATGTGCCCATGGCACCTGGAAGAACATGCCGATGATGGCCATCATGGCCAGGCGGCCGTTGGCAAGCTCGGCGGAAAGCTTCTTGGTCTTCTCCTCCGGATCCGAGGAGGTCAGGACCTTGAAGCCGTAGTCTCCCGGAGTGCCGGTCTTGTAGTCCTCGAAGCCACCGCTGAACTCCACAAAGCCAAAGTAGGCGGCGATCTGCGCCCATCCTGCCACGGGAACCTTGGACACGGCAGCCAGCCCGTTCGGGATGTCCGCGAACTTCAGCCCGGCTGACGGCGACAGGAAGCCTGGCCTTAGGCGGAGGTGATGCGGTAGCGACGGGGTGTTGTCAATAAGCTTGATTGCATTCTATGCTCGCAAGTGCTGCCCATCAGCGGACACCAAAACTCCAAAAGTTGGCCTGGCAGTCATGTCATGTCACGTTGTGTTCCGTCATGATACGCTGATACGCTAGACATGTCATAGCATGTGACACCGTGTCATGTTATGTCAGGTTGTGGCATGGCATCTTTCGGGTCATGCCATGTCATGTCATCTTGCATCGCCTCATGCCGCATTCACTAGTCTCTGCTACCAACATCAGAGCTTCATTGATCACAGCAATCGAGCACGCATGCGCAGCGCATGCACCAAGCACGCACTATACACCGACACCCAGCTCAACCATTCAACTCAGCTCCAGGCAGCTTGCCCGTGATCTCAGGGGTAATGTAACCTCAGCCAAGGCTCTTTCTCTTGCCAGCACTTTTTGTGTTCAAGGTGTTCCTGCCCAACCGCTACCACGTCTTCCTGTGCTTGCTGTGCTGTTCGACTCATGCAACATGTATCAGCCAAGGAGCAACAAGAAAAGATAAAACAGTTCTACAATGACTTTTTCTGCCGATGGTAACTGCGTTGCTCTGCACAAGGCTCAATGATTTTTGCACGTCATGCTTCGCCATGATCAATGTTACTGGTTCTTCTGCTTCCCCGTTGCTGCTGTTACTTCTTTTGGCTACTGCTTGCTGCTGCAATTGATTCTACTGCTTCTACTGTTTCTACTCCTCTTTCACAAATGTCTAGTCCTTCTATTCCTTCTACGTCTTCTTCCGCCGCACAAGCCTACATCAGCCTAGACACCCATGGCGGCCATCATGGAGATACGTCCGTGCTTCAGCTCCACGGATCGGCGGCGCTTGAATGTCGAGACATCGCCATCGGAGGTAAATCCGACGGGGTCCCAGAAGCCCACTGGCGCTTGCACCCCGAGCTCGCTCTCGAAGGCACGCAGGGGAGAGGCAGTGTAGTTGGCCCAGTCACCCCAGGCGCTGCCAGTCAAGCCATCCTGTGCGAGATTTCAGCTAGCAATTACTGAGTAACTACTGGGATCAATGAAGTGATAAGATGCAGTATGATGCACTATGACGCACCAAGCACGTACGCATATATGCTGTGAATATCAAGGAAACGGGCTGATGTCACCAACCCTTGTGATTTATATCAGCCAATATGACTTTTCTGCATCTTGAAAGTCTGATGTGATCCAACACAGCGAGTACCGTTCATCTGTCTCATCTTTCAAACAAGGATCAGGAGTAGTAAGCCAACTGGTGATGTGAAAAGAACAACAAATCTATAAAGCACAGATTGAATACCATGCGTCCTTGTTGATGAATTCATGCGTGCAGGTATTACCCTCCCTCCAACAAAGATAGTGCCTGCGGGCCGGTACTCGGAAGATGACTTTCCTCTTGGGGGGGTACCCTGTGTCAGTTGCCATGTCAGTGAGAGAGAGGGTAATCTGCCTGAACTCACCACGCAAGCTGGGTATCTGTGACGTGTTGCTTATCCTCATCACCTTTTAACTCTGCCAGCAACATAAGCAGCATAGAGTCATGTGCCCATGGCACCTGGAAGAACATGCCGATGATGGCCATCATGGCCAGGCGGCCGTTGGCAAGCTCGGCGGAAAGCTTCTTGGTCTTCTCCTCCGGATCCGAGGAGGTCAGGACCTTGAAGCCGTAGTCTCCCGGAGTGCCGGTCTTGTAGTCCTCGAAGCCACCGCTGAACTCCACAAAGCCAAAGTAGGCGGCGATCTGCGCCCATCCTGCCACGGGAACCTTGGACACGGCAGCCAGCCCGTTCGGGATGTCTGCGAACTTCAGCCCGGCTGACGGAGACAGGAAGCCTGGCCTTAGGCGGAGGTGATGCGGTAGCGACGGGGTGATGTCAATAAGCTTGATTGCATTCTATGCTCGCAAGTGCTGCCCATCAGCGGACACCAAAACTCCAAAAGTTGGCCTGGCAGTCATGTCATGTCACGTTGTGTTCCGTCATGATACGCTGATACGCTAGACATGTCATAGCATGTGACACCGTGTCATGTTATGTCAGGTTGTGGCATGGCATCTTTCGGGTCATGCCATGTCATGTCATCTTGCATCGCCTCATGCCGCATTCACTAGTCTCTGCTACCAACATCAGAGCTTCATTGATCACAGCAATCGAGCACGCATGCGCAGCGCATGCACCAAGCACGCACTATACACCAACACCCAGCTCGACTCATTCAACTCAGCTCCAGGCAGCTTGCCCGTGATCTCAGGGGTAATGTAACCTCAGCCAAGGCTCTTACTCTTGCCAGCACTTTTTGTGTTCAATGCGTTCCTGCCCAACCGCTACCACGTCCTCCTGTGCTTGCTGTGCTGTTCGACTCATGCAACATGTATCAGCCAAGGAGCAACAAGAAAAGATAAAACAGTTCTACAATGACTTTTTCTGCCGATGGTAACTGCGTTGCTCTGCACAAGGCTCAATGATTATTGCACGTCATGCTTCGCCATGATCAATGCTACTGGTTCTTCTGCTTCCCCGTTGCTGCTGTTACTTCTTTTGGCTACTGCTTGCTGCTGCAATTGATTCTACTGCTTCTACTGTTTCTACTCCTCTTTCACAAATGTCTAGTCCTTCTATTCCTTCTACGTCTTCTTCCGCCGCACGAGCTAAGATCAGCCTAGACACCCATGGCGGCCATCATGGAGATACGTCCGTGCTTCAGCTCCACGGATCGGCGGCGCTTGAATGTCGAGACATCGCCATCGGAGGTAAATCCGACGGGGTCCCAGAAGCCCACTGGCGCTTGCACCCCGAGCTCGCTCTCGAAGGCACGCAGGGGAGAGGCAGTGTAGTTGGCCCAGTCACCCCAGGCGCTGCCAGTCAAGCCATCCTGTGCGAGATTTCAGCTAGCAATTACTGAGTAACTACTGGGATCAATGAAGTGATAAGATGCAGTATGATGCACTATGACGCACCAAGCACGTACGCATATATGCTGTGAATATCAAGGAAACGGGCTGATGTCACCAACCCTTGTGATTTATATCAGCCAATATGACTTTTCTGCATCTTGAAAGTCTGATGTGATCCAACACAGCGAGTACCGTTCATCTGTCTCATCTTTCAAACAAGGATCAGGAGTAGTAAGCCAACTGGTGATGTGAAAAGAACAACAAATCTATAAAGCACAGATTGAATACCATGCGTCCTTGTTGATGAATTCATGCGTGCAGGTATTACCCTCCCTCCAACAAAGATAGTGCCTGCGGGCCGGTACTCGGAAGATGACTTTCCTCTTGGGGGGGTACCCTGTGTCAGTTGCCATGTCAGTGAGAGAGAGGGTAATCTGCCTGAACTCACCACGCAAGCTGGGTATCTGTGACGTGTTGCTTATCCTCATCACCTTTTAACTCTGCCAGCAACATAAGCAGCATAGAGTCATGTGCCCATGGCACCTGGAAGAACATGCCGATGATGGCCATCATGGCCAGGCGGCCGTTGGCAAGCTCGGCGGAAAGCTTCTTGGTCTTCTCCTCCGGATCCGAGGAGGTCAGGACCTTGAAGCCGTAGTCTCCCGGAGTGCCGGTCTTGTAGTCCTCGAAGCCACCGCTGAACTCCACAAAGCCAAAGTAGGCGGCGATCTGCGCCCATCCTGCCACGGGAACCTTGGACACGGCAGCCAGCCCGTTCGGGATGTCCGCGAACTTCAGCCCGGCTGACGGAGACAGGAAGCCTGGCCTTAGGCGGAGGTGATGCGGTAGCGACGGGGTGATGTCAATAAGCTTGATTGCATTCTATGCTCGCAAGTGCTGCCCATCAGCGGACACCAAAACTCCAAAAGTTGGCCTGGCAGTCATGTCATGTCACGTTGTGTTCCGTCATGATACGCTGATACGCTAGACATGTCATAGCATGTGACACCGTGTCATGTTTTGTCATGTTGTGGCATGGCATCTTTCGGGTCATGCCATGTCATGTCATCTTGCATCGCCTCATGCCGCATTCACTAGTCTCTGCTACCAACATCAGAGCTTCATTGATCACAGCAATCGAGCACGCATGCGCAGCGCATGCACCAAGCACGCACTATACACCAACACCCAGCTCGACTCATTCAACTCAGCTCCAGGCAGCTTGCCCGTGATCTCAGGGGTAATGTAACCTCAGCCAAGGCTCTTACTCTTGCCAGCACGTTTTGTGTTCAAGGTGTTCCTGCCCAACCGCTACCACGTCTTCCTGTGCTTGCTGTGCTGTTCGACTCATGCAACATGTATCAGCCAAGGAGCAACAAGAAAAGATAAAACAGTTCTACAATGACTTTTTCTGCCGATGGTAACTGCGTTGCTCTGCACAAGGCTCAATGATTATTGCACGTCATGCTTCGCCATGATCAACGCTACTGGTTCTTCTGCTTCCCCGTTGCTGCTGTTACTTCTTTTGGCTACTGCTTGCTGCTGCAATTGATTCTACTGCTTCTACTGTTTCTACTCCTCTTTCACAAATGTCTAGTCCTTCTATTCCTTCTACGTCTTCTTCCGCCGCACGAGCTAAGATCAGCCTAGACACCCATGGCGGCCATCATGGAGATACGTCCGTGCTTCAGCTCCACGGATCGGCGGCGCTTGAATGTCGAGACATCGCCATCGGAGGTAAATCCGACGGGGTCCCAGAAGCCCACTGGCGCCTGCACCCCGAGCTCGCTCTCGAAGGCACGCAGGGGAGAGGCAGTGTAGTTGGCCCAGTCACCCCAGGCGCTGCCAGTCAAGCCATCCTGTGCGAGATTTCAGCTAGCAATTACTGAGTAACTACTGAGATCAATGAAGTGATAAGATGCAATGTGATGCAGTATGATGCACCAGGCACGCACGCATATATGCTGTGAATATCAAGGAAACGGGCTGACGTCGCCAACCCTTTTGATTTTTTTATCAGTCAATATGACTTTTCTACATCATGAAAGTCGGATCTGATCCAAACACAGCGAGTACCGTTCATGTGTCTCATTTTTCAACAAAGATCAGGAGTAGTGAGCCAAATGGTGTAAAAAAACAACAAATCTATAAAGCACAGATTGAATACCGTGCATTTGTCAATAAGTTCATGCGGGCATGTATTACCCTCCCTCCAACAAACATAGCCCTGAAGATGACTTTCCTCTTGCCCTGTGTCAGTTGCCATGTTAGTGAGAGAGAGAGGGTAATCTGCCTGAACTCACCACGCAAGCTGGGTATCTGTGACGTGTTGCTTATCCTCACCACCTTTAACTCTGCCAGCAACATAAGCAGCATAGAGTCATGTGCCCATGGCACCTGGAAGAACATGCCGATGATGGCCATCATGGCCAGGCGGCCGTTGGCAAGCTCGGCGGAAAGCTTCTTGGTCTTCTCCTCCGGATCCGAGGAGGTCAGGACCTTGAAGCCGTAGTCTCCCGGAGTGCCGGTCTTGTAGTCCTCGAAGCCACCGCTGAACTCCACAAAGCCAAAGTAGGCGGCGATCTGCGCCCATCCTGCCACGGGAACCTTGGACACGGCAGCCAGCCCGTTCGGGATGTCCGCGAACTTCAGCCCGGCTGACGGAGACAGGAAGCCTGGCCTTAGGCGGAGGTGATGCGGTAGCGACGGGGTGATGTCAATAAGCTTGAATGCATTCTATGCTCGCAAGTGCTACCCATCAGCTGACACCAAAACTCCACAAGTTGGCCAGGCAGTCATGTCATGACACGCTATACATGTCATAGCATGACACACCGTGTCATGTTATGTCATGTCATGGCATGGCATCTTTCGGGTCATGCCATGCCATGTCATCTTGAGTTGCCGCATGCCGCCTTCACAAGTCTCTGCTGCCAACATCAAGGCTGAATTGATCACAGCAAACGTGCACGCATGCGCAGCGCATGCACCAAGCACGCACTATACACCAACACCCAGCTCGACTCATTCAACTCAGCTCCAGGCAGCTTGCCCGTGATCTCAGGGGTAATGTAACCTCAGCCAAGGCTCTTACTCTTGCCAGCACTTTTTGTGTTCAAGGTGTTCCTGCCCAACCGCTACCACGTCTTCCTGTGCTTGCTGTGCTGTTCGACTCATGTGACATGTATCAGCCAAGGAACAACAAGAAAAGATAAAGCAGTTCTACAATGACTTTTTTCTGCCGATGGTAACTGCGTTGCTCTGCACAAGGCTCAATGATTATTGCACGTCATGCTTCGCCATGATCAATGCTACTGGTTCTTCTGCTTCCCCGTTGCTGCTGTTACTTCTGTTGGCTACTGCTTGCTGCTGCAATTGATTCTACTGCTTCTACTGTTTCTATTCCTCTTTCAAAAATGTCTACTGTAGTCCTTCTATTCCTTCTACGTCTTCTTCCGCCGCATGAGCTAAGATCAGCCTAGACACCCATGGCGGCCATCATGGAGATACGTCCGTGCTTCAGCTCCACGGATCGGCGGCGCTTGAATGTCGAGACATCGCCATCGGAGGTAAATCCGACGGGGTCCCAGAAGCCCACTGGCGCTTGCACCCCGAGCTCGCTCTCGAAGGCACGCAGGGGAGAGGCAGTGTAGTTGGCCCAGTCACCCCAGGCGCTGCCAGTCAAGCCATCCTGTGCGAGATTTCAGCTAGCAATTACTGAGTAACTACTGAGATCAATGAAGTGATAAGATGCAATGTGATGCAGTATGATGCACCAGGCACGCACGCATATATGCTGTGAATATCAAGGAAACGGGCTGATGTCACCAACCCTTGTGAATTATATCAGCCAATATGACTTTTCTGCATCTTGAAAGTCTGATCTGATCCGAACACAGCGAGTACCGTTCATCTGTCTCATCTTTCAAACAAGGATCAGGAGTAGTAAGCCAACTGGTGATGTAAAAAGAACAACAAATCTATGAAGCACAGATTGAATACCATGCGTTTGTTGATGAGTTCATGCGTGCAGGTATTACCCTCCCTCCAACAAACATAGTGCCTGCGGGCCGGTACTCGGAAGATGACTTTCCTCTTGCGGGGTACCCTGTGTCAGTTGCCATGTCAGTGAGAGGGAGGGCAATCTACCTGGCTTGGTATCTGTGACGTGTTGCTTATCCTCACCACCTTTCAACTCTGCCAGCAACATAAGCAGCATAGAGCCATGTGCCCATGGCACCTGGAAGAACATGCCGATGATGGCCATCATGGCCAGGCGGCCGTTGGCAAGCTCGGCAGAAAGCTTCTTGGTCTTCTCCTCCGGATCCGAGGAGGTCAGGACCTTGAAGCCGTAGTCTCCCGGAGTGCCGGTCTTGTAGTCCTCGAAGCCACCGCTGAACTCCACAAAGCCAAAGTAGGCGGCGATCTGCGCCCATCCTGCCACGGGAACCTTGGACACGGCAGCCAGCCCGTTCGGGATGTCCGCGAACTTCAGCCCGGCTGACGGAGACAGGAAGCCCGGCCTCAGATCGACAAAGGCACATTTTCTTGATTGAAGGCTCCACAGACTTGTCATCCCAAAATAATATTATCCATCATCTGACCATCTCTGCCGCTACCTTTCTCTTGCAAGGCAGCGTTTTGCTTCTCAAAACAAGTCGTCTGCACCCTGCATGCTGCATCCGTTTTCTCAGGCCCCCACAGCTTGCCTGTGATCTCAGGCGTGATGTAACCTTGCAGCGTTGTGTGTGTTCTATCATGTGTGGATAAATGTTGCTCAATTTTGCTTTCGCATTCTCTAACTCGCTGCTCTGATTCTCTGATTCTATTCATGTGTTGCATCTGTTGTGTGTGTGTGGCTTGATGTGCTCCATCTCTACTTTAGCTGCCCCACTTTGCGTCTTGCATGGCTCATGACTTTTCAGTGTTCGCTGCCACTCTGCGTCTACTTCTTGCCTTGCTTTCACAAGTTGACAATGAGTCACACAAGACACATCAGTCAAGACACCCATAGCGGCCATCATGGAGATACGGCCGTGCTTCAGCTCCACGGATCGGCGGCGCTTGAATGTCGAGACATCGCCATCGGAGGTAAATCCGACGGGGTCCCAGAAGCCCACTGGCGCTTGCACCCCAAGCTCGCTCTCGAAGGCACGCAGGGGAGAGGCGGTGTAGTTCGCCCAGTCACCCCAGGCACTGCCAGTCAGACCATCCTGTGCAATTTTCACAACATGTGCGAACTAAACTTTGGCAAACAACGCTGTGGATGGGCCGAAGGTTTGTCCAGAATGCAAAACAAAACAGACTTACTCATCCTACTCCTTTGTCGATTCGGTCTCTGTGCATTTCGTTCCAGAACATGCGCACGCTGCCATCTTGTCGTCTCACTCATGTCACAAAACATGCGCACACTACCATCTTCTCGTCTCACTCATGTCACATGCATTCTGTTGCTCATCTGTTTGCCCCCAACTGCCAGAAGCAAGAACAAGGATATAACGCCGCCAACGTGTCACAACGTAGCAACAACAACATACACCCCAACACAGTCCCCCAAAGCAACACCGTAGCGCCTGGAAGAACATGCCGATGATGGCCATCATGGCCAGGCGGCCGTTGGCAAGCTCGGCGGAAAGCTTCTTGGTCTTCTCCTCCGGATCCGAGGAGGTCAGGACCTTGAAGCCGTAGTCTCCCGGAGTGCCGGTCTTGTAGTCCTCGAAGCCACCGCTGAACTCCACAAAGCCAAAGTAGGCGGCGATCTGCGCCCATCCTGCCACGGGAACCTTGGACACGGCAGCCAGCCCGTTCGGGATGTCCGCGAACTTCAGCCCGGCTGACGGAGACAGGAAGCCCGGCCTCAGATCGACAAAGGCACATTTTCTTGATTGAATGCTCACAGACTTGTCAACTCAACATGCGCATGTGTATACATATGTATTACACACATTTGTAGCCCCTGCCCACAGATCCACCTCTGTCCTATTTGCTGACACCCATATTGGAGCCAAAAGTTAAAAAGAAAAAACAAAAACATAAACGTAAATGTCTAGTGCCAATGGCCCAAAAGGGGAAGAAAAACAACATGGAGCCAATGATCCAAAAATAAAAACTGCAACGAACATTTATGGAGCCAATGACCCCCAAAAAAAGGATAAACTCTTTCCACCCATGGTCAGAACATTTTACTTCAGGATCACAGGTTTAATTGTTGTGTTCTACTTGTTTATCATGCTTCAGATTTTGCTTCTACATTATTGTTTTGCTTTGTTCACTTGTTTACCTTTTTACCTTTGGGCATTGGCTCCAGAATGTTGCTTTTACTTGTTTACTTCGTTACGTTCTTACTTTCTTACATTTGATTTGTTCTACGTTCTCCGCCACAGTGTTTTTGTCTTCTCTTTGGTGTTCTCGAGTTTTTTCTACTTTCTTGCAATCCCCCCCCCCACCAAAAAAAAAGTGTGCTTGTGTTGTTGTTTCCTTTCAGACACGTACAAAAATGACTGTGTTGTTTTGGGTTTGTCGGCATTGCTCATCAAGTGTTGTTGCTTTTGTTGAGATTTGCTCCTGTATGTTCCTGCTGAAGGTGTGACCACATATCCACACGCCTTGCTTCGACATGCATTGACGTCTTTTGCTGAATACTTGCACCAGCGCAGACAGCGATCTCAGTCTAAATCAGACTAAAAAGAGGATTATCTTTAAAGAGATATTGGAATCTAAATAGAATTAAATGAGGGCAGAGCTGAGTTAGAATGTCGCTCCTTGTAAAGCGGCTCCTGTTGAACCTCATTACAAGGCTCCTTGAGAAGCTCCTTATGAAGCTCCTTGTAAGGCTGGCTTCCATAGCAGGCTACGTACAAAGCTCCTTGCAGGGCTAGTTACAATTATCTTTACAAGGCTGTGGCTCAAAAAACCGGTACCAAAATCAACCCTGGTAAGTGGAAACATGGACCAAAACCTGCGGTTTGCCCCTCCTGTTTGATTTTGAACCACACACACACACACAAAGCTCCCTTTGAAGGCTCCTTGTCCTTGTGCAAATCATTCTAAAGCTGCTTGCAAGTTTCCTTATAAGGCCTCTTATGAAGCTCCTGAATCATGCTCCTTAAACTATCCCGTCAAGGCTCCGTATACCGAATAGGATGTTGAATGTAGAATTTATTGAAACAATCAATGCTATGGACTACCTATTCATAATGATATATATATATATATAATAAAGTAAAAAATGCTGTCCAACCCTGATGTCTTGTGAATATTCTGTTTTAGTAGAGGTTAGTAAGAAAACTGTTCAATCGGAATTCAGGTGACATTCAGACGTTCAATATGGGCTTGCTTGTCCACAAAGAATCCGATTAAATATTATGAAACTTGAGTAGAACTTAATAACGATAGAATCCTGCTCCCAAGTTCTTTGTATAAACAGAATGGTGTTGACTTACATTCGCAGATGAAACAGAAGACAAACAGGAATTATCTGCAATGACCTGCAGGTGAATAAAGCTCCTTATACAGCTCCTCTCCCATGGAGGGAAGCTCTTTTCGAGCGAACAGCCTGCAGGGAGTCACCCAACGCGCAGCGCCGACCAGTTGAGCGGCGCTTGTTTGACCCATTGACTTTTGGCTCCACCAACAGGCTGTTGTCAAGCTTACTGGGCTGTCCGTTTTCAGATCCCCTGCTAAAAGTGTAACTTGTGGGTTTAGTGGAAACTGCCACAAAACCCAAAAAGCGAATCGCTCATTCCTTGTAAGGATCCTTGTAAGGCTCCTTGTGCCAACTAGGATGTTTGAACAAGATCTAATTGGAATTTGAATTTGACCATGCTATATAAGAAAACTGAGGTACCTGTCTTGCTTTAAATGAGGGGGTTAAAAGAAATGTCTTTCCAAGTATGACCTTGATTGTATAATAATTCAAGAATGATTTAATGGGGAAGGCATTGAATCTGAAATTGCTATGTGCAATTTGCATTTGACTATGTATTACTGGTCCAATTGGTTCTCAACAAAATTGGAGTCGAACTTAATAAGCAGGAGGCCTTTGTTTTACACTTGTAGATGCAACATAACACGGACAGAGGTGACACTGCCTTGTTTATTGTGACATACACTTGATTTGTGCCGCAGCTGCTACAAATGACGCAGAAAAGGTTGAACATGTGCGGGGGTTGCATCCATTTGTCCATGCGCTGAGCCGATGCCGGTCAAGTCGCATGGGGCAGTCCAAATAAAACAACTGCATTCTACCTGCAAAATAGCCTTGAAACAGCACTAGGTGGACCCATCGGCAAGGGGGGGGGGGGTAGCATCGTCTCTGCCCTGCTATTTTGCTCTTGCAAGATGGCGGCAGCAGAACTTGGCTCTCGTCGTTTGCACCCAGCATCCTCGGGCATCCATTTTTGTCCGCCCCGCTCAGGCCCCCACAGCTTGCCCGTGATCTCAGGCGTGATGTAGCCTCACAGAAGCTGCGTTGGTGTGTGCGTGTGTGTTCTATCATGTTCTTTCTCATTTCGTTCAATCTTGTTCCCGCATTCTCTCGGATTCTCTGATTACCTGATTCACTTCTGTGTGTTCAATATGCGTCCTTTGCTCCACCTATGCGTGTGTGTGTGTTTGTGTGTGCTCTTTTTTGCGTCTAGCAGCACTAGTGCTCGTATTCTGCACTCTACTTTTACTGCTTGCCGCGCTTGCTCCATCTCTACTCCATCTGCCCCATCTTGCGTCTGGCATGGCTCATGATTGTTCAGTCTTCGCTGCCACTCTGCGTCCACATCTTGCCTTGCTTTCACAAGCTCGCAAACTGCAATTGATTCTACTGCAATTGATTCTACTGCTTCTATTGTTTCCACTGCTCTTTCAAAAACGTCGAGTCCCTCTACTTCTTCCACGTCTTCTTCCGCCGCAGGATCAGCCAAGACACCCATCGCGGCCATCATGGAGATCCGGCCGTGCTTCAGCTCCACGGAGCGGCGGCGCTTGAAGGTCGCCACGTCGCCGTCGGAGGTAAACCCAACCTTGGCTGGAATGCGGACCCCGGCAAATATATATATATATATAGATAGATAGATATATATATATATATATATTATATTTATTTATTTATTTATTCATTTGCCTAGTGGAAAACAAAGGGAACCCCCAAAAAGGCAGCAAAAAAATAAAAAGGGGAACTAATTCTGGGGAAGCGACGGGGTCCCAGAAGCCCACCGGCGCCTGCACCCCGAGCTCACTTTCGAAGGCTGCCAGAGCCACCTCGACTTCGCGAGCTTCGCGAGCTTCGCGAGTTTCGAGCGCAGGCACTTCGCGGAAAGCTGCTGCGCAACCCCGCTGAACGGGCAAGCCGAAGTGAAAGAAAGTCACATGACAACCATTTCGAGCGGTCGGGTCCAAATAGGTTTGCAACCTTTTGGGCTGCTTTTAACATCAGGACTTGATGATTGCGGGCGGTCGGGATCTTTCCGGGTGGTCTGTAGAGTCCCGGGGAATGGTCCCAAATGGAACCAAACCAAACGGCTGAAGGTTGTAACTCAGGCTGACACCGAAGTTCATTCTGCTCGCCAAAATCCAATGTCAGTTTAACACAAATGCGCTGCCAAACTACAGCGGCGCATTCCCCGAACATTCGGAATTACCACAAACCCGGGGATGCCTAACTCTTGTAAGTGAATACAGGCCAACTTTGGACTTAGAGCGGTTGTTCCGCATGTTGGAACATGTTTGTCACCTGGAGATGTGGACAATACATATCTGTTCCAATGTCCTAACAAAGCCCTCTGCTCACAATGAATTTTCGGGTGCAGGGAAACCCATCCCATGACCCAAGCCCAGGAATCCCAAGGAGCAAATCCCAGTTTTTGTCGGACGTCACAACATGCCAGGGCTTGGTTTCCATGATGTCCGATGTCGATCAAAGAGGTCCCAGCTTGGGATTAAACATACCCAACGATATTCCTTTGCCATCCCTATATGGGCCACATGGGTGTCTTCCTCTTGGTGTCCCTTTAAAACCACCAAAAGGGTACCCTCGCAAAAAGACACACGCGTGTTTCACAGCAGAAAACAGCCGAAAAACTCGGGGGGGTGGACTCATTGTGAAAAAAATCAGTGCCAAGCGAGAGGAGAAAAGGAGCTTCTCTACGTGAAACAGCAACGGCCTAGCAAAGAATAAGCGATGCCATCATTTCGATGGGAAATGGTGATTTGATGCGTCGCTTTACGGAATACTGACTCTTCCAGGTTGTCCGCTTGCCAAATCTTTTTTGAGAAGGAGGGCATAACTCCAAGAGAAGACCTACGCGATTTGGGAGCAGTCTTACTTTTCCGCTAACCAAGTCCAAACAGAAAACCCGCCGGGTGCTTTCTTCTCCAGAATGGTCTCAACTGCCACGTCAAACATTCCGAGGCCCCGTAGAGCCGCGGCCAATTTTGTATTTGTTTGTTCCTCCAAGAGATGGGTGTGGCTCAAATTTGAACAGGGGGGCAATGTCTCCCTTCTGGCTTGCTCCCCTTCCGACGCCCCAAGCATGTTCTTTGGCAGAACGACTCGTCTCTTCGATTCTTCTCAAGTGTCCCCAAAGAAATCCAAAGCCGTCTGTATGAGTTCTCGCTGGCCCCTGTTCAGCCTTCACATGAATTGGCAGCCTGCCTGTCAAGAAGCAAGGTTGGTAACCCAGCTTTTGCATAGGCCTGGCACATCAGCAATACTGGGCTTTATCTCTTCAATACAAGTGCCGAGCTTGAATATGACAGAAACACTTGTTTGTTGGACCTCGGTTTCCTCAAAGCAAATCTAACAAGAAAGCTGCTAAGTTTGACAAGCAAAACACGTGATGGATTCTCGAGTGCAAAGTGAGCCAAACACCTCCAACCACACAATCCTGGAGAATTGCTCAGACTACAGATTGTCCTTGTGCCCTACCCCCAAGACTTAGAAACTCACCTATCTGTGGGTTTTTTGGGGAGCTCGTAGCATTTGTTGATAGCGCCAAGTGCCTCCGGGAATCACAACAGTGGAGAATCCACGTGTCTCAGCTTGCACGAGAAATTCACGAAGCATGCAGCCCTCCGTATATAGTAGGTAGACATCACCATCTGAGCCAATGTCTGCTCCAGTCACCACGCTTCCCAATGCGCGGCCACTGGTACCCTTTCCCTGTCGAGGCTGGTGTCAAAGGAAAGCCAAGGGAGCCTTCGGGCCACCCCCCATGTTGACTCACCTTGTGTCTGGCTTGCCAGTCCTTTCCCCAACCTTCGGGAAGGTGTTCGGGAGCAGGGCTTGTGGATTTCGCGCATTCACATTACCCCAGCAACACGTTGGGTCACTCGCTCCCTGAGTGGATTGTTGCCACTCAAAATTGCGGGTCCGGGGAACCCGAACGGTGATACGGTCCGGACTAAGGAAAGAGAAGAAAGATCTGTTTCGTTGCCACTCAAAGTGTCGTCCTCCCGAAATTGGACGCCAGCAAAAGGCAAAGGGAATTGAGGTCTTCAAAAGGCAAGGGCAGCACGTCAACCTCATCCCAACTCCAGGCACCCCGGCCAGGTGTTTTGAATTGGCAGCCGTGGCCTGCAAGAACCACGAATTCCTTCCCTCCAATTGAACTGCTGAAGAAAAAGAATGGCGGCTTCTGCAACCAACAAAGGATCATGGACATCCACCGGGCATCTGAGGCTTGAACACTTCGCCCCTACCCTTTCAAGGTAAAAACCCAAAGAGCTTCGTTGAACTCAGGGCTACATGGGCAGATTTCTGTCTGTCACTCCGAGATCTCTGCCCCCATTTAGGGAAAATGTCATGAGTCCTAAGCCCAACTGCATGTCTTCATCCTCAAGGATTGGCCCAACTGGCTCATTTGCCGGTTGATGGGTGCTCCGCCCTGCTCCGCCCCAAAAATCACACCAGCTGCGGCCGGGAATTGGCTTTGAGCAACCTCCAAGCCCAACCTCCGCTTGCTGCTCAAGGAATGAGAAATGGACTGACCCCTACCCATCCAACTGGTGTCCTTTTTCAGACCCCACGGTCCACTCCCTCAGCCTTCATTCCGACAACACGAAGCTGGAAATTTCACTCCGACCCCACACCGGGAAGAGTTTTTGGGCAGGAACATAGGTGGCCTTTTGGAAAAATCGATGGGTGTCCCTGGTCAATGGGGCAGAAACCAAACATCTAAACCAGGGGAACCCCTCTATTTTTTAAGCAAACCAACCAAAAAGGACACCTATGACCAGAAAGATATTAGGCAGGAACTTTAGCCACACTCAAGATGTCTCCCCCAAAAGGGCGCCCTTGTCACTCGGAAACCTGCCACGGTTGAACTCTGGACATGCGTGAGAAACGATAACAAGGAAAAGCCGCCCAGTTCCTTTAACGGAAACCAAACAAGCTGCTCCTGCCATTTGCAAGGAAGTACCTCAACATGGCCATCAGTCAAAGCCGTCTTTTTTGACACCCTCAGAACTGTCATGCAGCACCGAGTCCTGCCATATGTTCAACCAATGCATGGTTCCCACCAAACATCTGACAGATCTGTACAATACAATCCAGCAAGTCAACTGGTCTAATGAAGATGAGCGAGGCAACCGGTTAGTTAAGCATGAAACTATGCAGTTGTACATGTGTATGTATGTATGTACGTGCGTACGTATGTCTGTATGTATGCATGTATGTGTATGTATGTATGTGTATGTATGTATGTACGTACTTACGTACGTACGTACGTATGTATGTATGTATGCATGTTTGCATGTGTGTATGTATGTATGTATGTATGTATGTATGTATGTATGTATGTATGTATGTATGTATGTATGTATGTATGTATGTATGTATGCATGTAAGTAGGTATGTATGTATGTATGTATGTACGTACGTACGTACGTATGTATGCATATATGTATGTATGTATGTGTGTGCGTGGATGTGTGTGTGTGTGTGTCTGCGTATGTATGTACGTACGTACGTATGTATGTATGCATGTATGTCTGTTTGTCTGTCTGTCTGTCTGTATGTCTGTATGTCTGTATGTCTGTATGTCTGTATATGTATGTATGTATGTACGTACGTACGTATGTACGTATGTACGTGCGCACGTACGCATGTATGCATGCATTCAGGCATGCATGTATTCTAATATAATATAATAATAATAATAATAATAATAATAATAATAATAATAATAATAATAATAATAATAATAATAATGATAATAATAATAATAATAATAATAATAATAATAATAATAATAATAATAATAATAATAATAATATATATATATATATATACATATGCACATACATAAATACATATATATAGATATAACAATGATATATATATATATATATATCATTGTTATATATATATATATATGTATTTATGTATATATATATATATGTGCGTGTGTCCACTTGCATATGCGCAAACTGCCATGTTTCTCTGGTCCTGGATCCACTTCTCCTCCTACACCCCCCGCCCCACGGGCAGCTTTTGCAGCCCCAGCCCCCGCCTTTCGGCCAAGGCAGGCGGCAAGTGCCGCACCCGCTACGGCCATGGTGGCGGACGCCTGGCGCTCCATTTGCAGAGCCCCCTGGAAAAACTGAGGAAATATGACTGGTGATAAATTCCCTTTAAAACCAATTGGGTAGAACAAATAAATATATATATATATATATATGTGTATTCATTTCGGCAAATGGAAGTGCCTGACTGAAAAGGACAGACTTCAGTTTTTCTCACTGGGCGCGTCTGCTTCTTTGCGAGGATGCCCTTCTTCTTGTAAAGGGAAACCAGAAGGAAGACCCACCCTCTCTTCCGGTTTTGCTTTTGTTGTGGGGGGGCGGTGAGGGCCCCCAAAAAGGACACACACACCCATTTGATTTCTACAACAGGGCCAAATTAGACACCGGAATTCCCCCAAAGAATCATGTCCCAAGAATTGTGGTGTCCAACTTACAGGGCTTCTACGACAGGGATACAGTTGGCGATCAACTGGAGCGGGAGGGTAATTTTAATCAGGGTTCAACATTGCCTTATCTCGGTTGCTTTCTGCTCCCCTGCTGAAAGTTTAACTTTTAGTGGTTTAATGGAATGGAAAACCCATTAGTTGACAACAAATTTAAGTCCTAACATCCAAGCAAAATGCACCAAAGTTATGTCAAGTTTGCGATTTATAGCCCCGGACCCCGCACTCGACCCTTGTTATCCAGCTTTGACCTACAAACAAACGGTGAGCCAGAACAAAACAGGCTACATAGCGCGGGACAATGCATCAACCCCTGGCATTCTGCGGATTGAAATCCTGTGGGTGGATGCAATCCGTTCGCACCACGTTGAAACCATGGTTGCAACCATTGCTTTTGTTGGCATTTACGTTGGGGAAACTCGAATCATTCCAGGCAGGTGGTGCGAAATGGACTCCGTCCCCCCACAGTATGAACCCCAAAACACGTGACCTCCAGTGCTTCAAGCAACAACAACAAAAAACGCAGAGCGAGACGAATGCTCTTTGTCTTGATGCAGGCCTTGGTTCCTGTGCGGCGTAGATAAAACGTTGCGCATGACAGTTGCCGCCGCTGAGACGAAAAGCAAGATCCAATGTGCAAGTGGAACTTCAGATCCGGCGAAGCGACCTTGGCTCCCTTGTCGCGGCTCGAATGGCTCGATCTACATGTTCTGAAAATTAACTCAAACGGGCCAAAAGCAGGCTACCCTCCCACCAACTAACATGGAAGTGCACAAACCCCATTTCCACCAGGAAACTAGTCTTTCTACAGGGATCTGTGCACTTCGGCGCTTCCATGTTGGCCGGGAGGGTAATTGCCTACAGCCCCAGTCTCCTGCGAACTCACAGGAGGCAAGTTCGTCTCAAGGCTCAAGCAGCTTCTCGAGGCAAGGAGCATCGCAGACTGAGATCAGAGTGTCATGCTGATCTCCCGGTGATCCACGGATTTGGGGTGGCTGGGGGGGGGGGGGGGCAGCCCTCATGTCCTCAGAATCCTTGGTTTTTCAGTTTTTTGTCCAAGGACTCCAGAACAAGCTGCTATTCAGCAAACATCAGGGCACGCCATGATGATTGCTGTAAAGCTTCAGCACACTTGTTCCAGATTCAGCAGCTTCGCTGTAAAGGACGCCAGCTGCGCAGGTATGGCAGTTCCAGAGGTTCAAGTCTCGGAGACGCGGAAAACAAATCAAAAGTTGGGTTCCCACCACCGTCATCCCGTCATCCAAAGACTCTATCTGCGCAAGAAAAGAGAGAGCGCAGCTCCGCTCCGAGTGGCATGACAAAGGCTGACAGCCTCCCATCCCAAAGCCAGAGGTTGAACTCAGACCAATGCAAACCCATGGGTGTCCGATCATGGAAAAAGAACTATGACCTGGCGCTAACATTGATATCCCATGCTCAAACCCCCATTGAGAAGCTCGAAAGAATGAAATATGTGCGGTTGGCTTTCACTTGGGAACTCCATTTATCTGAGTTGCGGACATTCTTTGCGTTATGTTGTTTTTGCTTTTGCGTTTGCTCTCTCCTTTTTTTCGAGGGGGGGGCCAACCCTTGTTATGTTAGCAAAACTAATTGTTGTTTTCAACCGCCAGCATGAACAGAGCCAAAGACATCAACAAATCAGCTGGGTGTGTCTCTTTTGACGGCACCTCCCAACCAACCTAGAAAAGGGACAGCATATGCCAAGACCTCCAAAAGAATCCCACCACCCCCCTCTCGCACCTCCATGCTGGCGGAAAGTGGGGGAGCCGCCGCCGACGCGGACGACACCTAGGGCTTTGGGACCCGCGGACGACACCGTTTCGCCCACTCAACTCTTTAGCGCCTGGGCTCGGGGCGCTTAGGCCCCAAAGGCGCATGGAATCCAGGAAAAAAAACACGCGACTTTGCCTGGCCTCCCACTAGTATGGCACCAGAGGGCTCCTTGAAGAAAAAAAATGGTCTTCCAGGTAGCCTCCCACAGTCAGTGGGAGGAAGGGTAGAAGAACCCTCTCAGAGCCCCTGCTTGGGGTATGTGCATCAAGCCTTGAACAATTTCGGTTGCCGGACAAGCTTTGAACGGTTCGGCCGGCGGGGTCGTTGGGGGTAGGCTGGTGATGGTTGAAACCAATTCGGGCCAAAAAGCAGTCCCACTACTGAAGGAAGTTTACCAAAAGCCGCTCCTCAAAGAAAGCTTCTCGCCTTAGAGGTTCTCTGACGCGTAGGGGCGTTGGATCCTGAGGTCTCCAAGAGCCGATCGACAAATGTTTGCCCCTCGCCGCCAATGTCAAGGACCCTACCTCCACTGGCCATTTCTACACTGACGGGGGTGCATGTCACTGCGCTCAAGCTGAGTTACCCCAGTAATATGGACATGGGTCAAAACCCGGTGGTGCACCTACCCGAAAATGGTACCATTGGTTTTGACCCACAGCCATATATCGGGGTAGCACCCACTTCAGGCCTCACCTCTCACCCCTCGCTTCCACCCACCCCGCTTCGGCCGCGGCAGTCTTGGCAGCTCGAAGATGGCCACTAGAAGTGGTGGGAGTGACAAAGGCGGCTCCGCCCAAAAGGGCAGCAACACCTGCGGCCGACACCCAACCAAACTCAGGACTGGGCGCGGAGCAACTGCTTGGGTTCGAGGTCATGGATCCCCGAAGCACTGAGCGTGCTTTGGTTTGAGGAGTGGATCCCGCAAAAAAAAGAAAATAAATGAGGGATCCCAACACCTGCGGCAGTCGCCAGAGGCTGAAGGTTTAAGGTCATGGATTTAAAACAAAAACAAAAATCGGGGCAGCTCACCAGTTTTGGAAGGAGCAACCCCCACAAGTTGGAGTCCCGGAAATTCCAAGCGGGATCCGGATCCCTGGTCGATGCAATTGTTTGGAGGCTGAATTTTTGAGGCTACCCTTTTTGGGGTTGGTTGAAAGGGAAACCAAGAATAAAAGCATCATGTTAGGAGGTCCTGTCAAAAAAGACACACCCATAGTCTTTGTTGTTTTCTTTGGCTCTATTCATGGTGTCGCAAAGCACAAGACGTTTTGCTAACATTCCAAGGCTTCGCACGCTGGCCTGCCGTGGCGGCCGCAGTGCTTCGGGAGTTTGAAGCCATCCTGAAACACGCAGCTGGTCGCATGCGACTCGCGGATCGAATCTTTTGGCTGATTCATCCTTCGTCTTTCAGTTGGGCGTTGCTGCAATAGGAAACCGAAACCACGCCGAAACCAATCGAATCTTTTGGCTGAGTCTTTGGATCTTTCGGCTACCCATGTTGGGCGTGCTCTTGGAAGATCTTTCCGGATTTGCAGACCAGGTTGACGCCACCTATCAGCTGCACGGAAAAGGCGCCTTCCTGCCCTTCCCTAACCTCTGGCGGAGCAAGAGCACAGGTTTAGGGCTGGGCTTTTTTGGGAAGCTGAAGGGAAATCACCCGCTTGGAGGGGTCCCCCAATTGACACATCCCCTTTTTATGTTGGCTCCACATCAACTTGAACTTGGCGGATTGATAAGACACCAAAGGGAACTCAATGAAGATAGCAGCCCCAAAGGCGATGGGGAACTCTTCCAACCGGATTTCGGGGAACTGACGGAACCCCTGCCTGCCCGAATTCCGAGCCTTTTTGCATGCCAAGGCACGTTAAGTCACCGAAAACGATATAGAAGCTGATCGGCAAAATGGTAGTTGTCTATCTGACAAAGCCGCAGCTTCTCTGGGCCAAATCAGCGGCAAACCCTCCGCGCCTGCGCCGGGGATAACTCTCCAGATACCGATTTTACCAGCTGGGCAACCAGGGACATGTCTATGAAGGATGCCCCTAACACCGTACACCACCAATTGAACGAAGGGTGTAAGGTTGATCCGGAATGAACCCTTGCCCGATAATATATTGGTGGTCCCCTCCAAAAGTAATGAACCCCAACTAAAATCGGGGGCACTCCATAAAGCAAGGGTTTATGAATCCTGGGCTAGCATTATTCGTCCTAGGGACCCCTCAAGAATGGATTAACTTGCCGAAACATGTCGACTTCAGATTCATAGACTCATCCGAATTAATCAAATGTGGTCAGATGTGGTCAGCTTGGTGATTGATCAATTCTAAAGGTGCCACTGGCGTTGTGAGCTACCACATTGTCAGGAGTTTGCTTTGCGTTCGACCCCAATGCAGAAGCTCCGCGTGTCATGGCAGACAGCTGCCAAAGCAAATCGCACAAAAGCATCAAGGGACAAGCCTGAAAACATATCGCGACGTCCCAAAGACCCCAAACGGCTGGGGGTTTTGTAAGCCGTACCAAGCCCAACAAGAGCAGAAGCAAGGCCAAGCAAGGCCAGCCAAGGTCTCAACGGGAAGGCATGGGGTGTGTGATGCCACCGATTCCCCACGGACAAGTCTCGCTCAGCTCCTGGTAGCTCAAAGGCCACCGGCCCATAAGACATGACTTCCAGTCCTTCTCACCCAAACCGACCCACCTGTCACACCTACACAAGCGCAGCTTGCAGATCTGGGGACATACAAGCAAAAATCATGGCATCAATGCATCTCCAAGCCTTTATGCACAGTGTGGTCTATACATTGCGTTTGTTTGACCGGCGTGCGTGTTCGATTCTGGGTCCAAAATCGGCATCCGCGGAAGCATGACCCTCAAAGTAAAAAACAAATAGCTTTGTGAAGTATTGTGGCGGGGGTGGGAAAACGTTGAACATGTCCAGTGGTGTTAAGAGTTGCCATAAACCCCAAAGCACGATTGCTGCAACTAGATTTAGGGAAACCAAAAGCAACAACAGCTGAGCCCTCAGATCCCCTGCTCTTCCGGTTCGGAGTTGACGGCAGACAGGGTGTCAAAGGGGCAAAGGGGGTGCCTCCCATTCGAGAGGGGCGTAACACAAATGACCTTGGAAAAGCTACAAAGAGTGATAAGCAAAAAAACTCAATTGATGCGGAATCGGCTGAAAAGCATCAGGTTCACCAATGAAATCTCCGGGTCCCAACTGGTTTTGAACATTCAGGAACTGGGAGCATGCCAACAGATCGTCCCGCATCCAGTCGATTCGCGAATCTAGGAAATCCTGGTCTCTGCCAGTGGGAGTTGCATCGAAATCCCCAAGACTTCGTCACTTCGCGGCTTCGGGAGGCCACTGAAAGTGGCCCACAATCCACCGGCTCTTTTGGCGAGAGCGAGGATGAATGATCTCTTTCGGCTGTCTATTGCCAGCTGCCCCGGGACCGCCGAGCCCCAAAGCGCGCTGGACCCGTTTTTCGTTTGCAGCGGGCGACGTCCCAAGACATGGGAAAGGGCGGGTAGACTCCCGAATCCACAAGATGGGCCAGACTTAATCTAACTTGTTGCTGGTAGGGTAAAGTGAAAGAAAACCACAGAGGCAGAAGTGGAGAAACGGTAAGCAATGTTTAGCAAATCAAATCTGGCACAAAACTCGGTCATATGTCAAAGGCTCAATATGAACAAGCACCATGGACGCATACCATTTGTTTTATTATCATTTTATACAACATCACTCCACAGGGTTCAAGAATATTCCTTCCTTGAACATCACCCCACAAGGGCCGCAAGAGGTGATGTTTACAACCACCAAAAGGGGAAATATGGGGAACCCCTGCTTCAACTGGCCGAAAAGCAAGCAGAGCGAGCCAAAAGCATCCCTCTGCACCCTTTCTTTTGGAAGTTTGGATTTCATATCGTCAACCCGGCGCAATTTCTGGAGCACGATCCATGCGTGTTGACCGCGGATCAACTAATCAACCTGATAGCAAGGGCTCCCCCTCCTCAAATGAGACGTCCCCTTTGTTCATCAACCAGACCAGTATTCGTCTCTGGTGACGATTTCCGCTGGTCAAGACGAGAGCCGACCGACCCGAAACCGCCCAAAACCAACCTTCCCATGGCCCATGGCCCATAGCCCCTGACCCCAAGCCCCGGCGTCCGCCCTAATAACGAGTCGGCTACGTCGGCGTTCCGACACTCCGACTGCCGGCCCGAGTGAATCGGAGCCAACACAGCTCCTGTCGGCAGACGTGGCCCACACTTGCAAAACCCCCGGCAGAGGCCGAGTCAACAAGCCACTTGCCGCAAAACCAGCTCGTTCCAACAAGAAACGACTCCCTGCATTGTTTTTTTGTAGGGAAACCTCCCCAAAAGAAGGGTGCCACCGCAGTTTTTGGGCTGAGAATGCGAGGGCAAGCAAAACCAACCCAGTGTGGCGCGCGAAGGCGAAAGCGGTGGCTTGGCGACGGGTGGGCCTCTGCATGGAAAGCATCTGGGCGCACGAGTGAGACTGGCGACTGCTGAGGTTTTCCGGCAACTGGCACAGTCCTCCTCAAGACCTGACCTCCATTTGGTGAAGTCCCCTGGAAAAAATGAGAAAATATGTCCAGTAGTGATAGATTCCCTTTAAAACCAAAAGGGGAAAATAAAAAGATGCTCATCAAATGGAAGCTGAGAACGAAAAAAAGGTAGCCAAACGCACTTCTATGGCGAAGAGGCCAATCGTGCATAGATAAAAAGAAAAGCAAGTGGACTGCCGCACGGAAATTTTCATTTCTGGCTACTGAGCGCCAAGTGCCGAAGCGCCTAGCTGTCGTCACTGTCACTTTCCTGGCCGCGAGCTATCTCGGGGTTGGACGTGGGGAACTCCTTGGTCTCATTTTCGGTTGACAGTGCAGGCAGATTTCCCATCGAGGGGTTCTAGACATGTTTGCTTAATGTCTTTTCTTGACACAGAGGGTATAACCCTATCACGTGGTTCGGCAGGAAATCGCAGCTAAGTTGGTCGATTTCGGGCTCGTCCCCAATTACAAAGCGCAACAACCAAAGGAGTCGGAACCGATTGGCTCGATCAGTGTCAACAATAGTCCGACACAGCCTTTTAGGTTGATCTATTCTGTCGTAGTGCTATGCAAGTTCGCAGGAGACAGGGAAACCTCGTGATGTGCCACATTTGTTGGTTGCCTAAATTGCAGTACTTCCGGGACCCATGAAATCACCTCATCAAAGACATGCCCAAAGGCTCCCCCAAAGACCCCTGAAGACACCCCCACCATGTTGGCATCATTTGCCCGGTTGAGTTTGGCCTTGTTTGGCGCAGCAAGGCTTCTTAAGTCTTTAGAAGGGTGGTTTATGTTGTGGGGTGGTCGGGTCTTTGAAGCGGGGGGTGTGGGGTCCTTCAGAGATGCTTGGTCTGGGTTCTTCAATCGCAGAGTGTCTGGCCCGCCCATTGCGTGCATAAGGAACCCCCATGTCTGCAAGGGTCCTCTAGGAATCGGCTTTTTGGGCCACCATGGGTACCTGGAAACCTCGGGAACGCGTAGTTTCTACCAACTGCCCTCCCACCAGCTAACATGCGCTGGTGCACAGACCCACTCCCATGTTAGTTGGTGGGCGGATAAGCTCCATGTTCCGGTAAAGCCTTCCACAGACTCCATGAGACCCGGCAGGAATGTGCACTAAAGCCCGAGTTACGGCCCGAGTACCCCCTGAATTCGCCTTGCTTACCCCGCATTTTCTCGGGCTTTTGTTTGTTTCAGGTTGGCTCGAAGCTGAAAACAAGAGGAAAGCAAAACTATCATTTTGGGTTCCCCCGATTGTCTTGACACACTACCCACTTCTGGTCCGGCGAAACCTTTGACCCAATTACTCAAACACCAAGGCTTTTCTTTGGGAAACATCAACCACCCTGATTGCAAGTGGGCTTGTCTACCCCTTTTTGGTGTGCTCAAGGGAAACCAACAAACAAACTGCATGTTGTTGTTTTTTTTGTTGGTGTTTTGTTGGGTAGAGAAAGACACACCCAAGTTTTCCTTGGGGCAACCAAACAAATTGGAACCCTGCTTGGGTGGATGTTGGACACTAGCTTGGAATATAGTGCTAATGCCAGGTTGACCTGGGAAAATGCATTCTGTTCTAGTAACGGAAACTGTGGAGGGGGGGGTATCTGGAAATCTCCCTGCGACCTCCCCTCTGCCAAAGCACATCTAGTCCTCGCACCAAGGGAAATGGTTGGAATGCACTTCGGGTCGCTTATGATCACCATAAGCTGGGGGTACAAAACAGATGCAACCCGAAACAGCCGGATAAGCATTGCCGAATCTGCCGCGAGGTTGCCAGGGGAAAAAAATGGACCCGCCCCAGCTCTCTACCAAAGCGGGGCTGACTTCGCGAAACATCGCGTGGGAATCCGCGCGAAGGGGAAGCCGCGCGCCTCTTCGGAGTCGCTTTCACTCGTTTTTCGCTTCTTGCCCTTCGACTTCTTCTCCTGCACTGCTCGGTTTGGATGCCTGGTCCGTCAATCTTCCCGGAAGGGCCCTGAGTGTTGACCATGGGTAACTTTTCACATTTCGTGGGAGATATCTTCTTTTGGTGGGTGGTTTCCTTCATCAATGGTCATCCCTGGCTCGTTTTGGGCATGAGGTAAAATCCGCCTCTGGTCGCCTCCAATCAACGTGTCCTAGAATAGGCTCGGGCTGAAAAAGATTTGGATTGCCATTTTCTGGAAACAAAGGGGGTGCCCGTGAACAAGTGGCTTTACAACTGTACCCTCCCCCCCCCCCGAAAAGAAAAAAAAACAGACGGACCTCACACCCCCCAGTTTAGAGCCTCCAACGGTTTAACGGCTGGCCTTCACGCTTGGGTTTTTGGGGTCTTTGCGATCTCCTGCTTAATCAAGGATCATGGGAGCCAACAGGATCGATCTGAGAGACTAGCTTCAGACCAGTTGGTGCCTTGGATTCGGATTTGAAGCTCTGCTTCTGGCTTCTGGCGGGCAGATGGGAAACCCCGGAAGACCTCCAAATCATTCGGCTCCAAAGCCATCAGAAGGGATGCGGATGGTTTCCATTTGGTCCATTGGAAGGCGTTCAAAGCCCAGAGATCAGAGCTGGTTGCGAAATCCATTTCGCACCTAGGAAACCCAACGGAATGGTTTGAGTCCCCGGTAAATGCCAACAAACGTTATGGTTTTCCCATGGTCCACCCACAGTTGCTTTCAACCAAAGCCCGGAGGGTCCGATGTCCTTCTCCTTCTTGGACTTCTCCTTTTTACTTTTGGATTCCTTCTCCTTCTTATCGCCTCAGTCTGTCAGTCTGCAGAGTCCCCTAAATTCTAGGGATGCCTTCCATTTCCATTCTGAACCGAGGGATCCGAATCTTTTCAGGAAACCATCCAAAAACCCAGGGAAACCGCCGGCTTTTCAAAAGAACGATGATTGCAAAAGGCTGGAATCATTCCCGATGAGTGGACGTGTACCAAGCAACCAAGCAAACAAGCAAACAAGCAACCAAAAAGCCAGCTAACCAAGCAAGAAACCAACCACAAGCAAATTGTGGGCTCAAGGCTCACCCTACCCCTTGATGGTTTGGGGTGGAAAACGCCTTTAGGCCACGCAGAAAGAACCAATTGGTCAGCCGGGTTTCGGTGACCCTCAAACTGCAGCCCAGCGGCTCTTTTTTGCCTTCTTGCTCTTGCTCTTCTCCTCCAAGTTTGAAGAGATGATGCAAATCCGGGGCCCCCGCAAAAACTCCCCACTTGCGGATGAAACAGGAAAATGAAGAACCCTGGTACTGCGCCCCGAGTCCAGGTGGATCAAAACAAGTCGCCAACCCGCAAAGGGCTCCATAAGGCCTTCTTGCACAGAAAAGAGAAATCCACATGCATCCATTTGGCTCAGGCCAAACTGATCGACCCCGTAAGAGCGGGCCACGATTTGCTGACGACTTGGGAACTTCCTCCATCCAAGTCGAAGATTGTCAGGGAAGGTCCATGGGGTCCATTCAAGTGTTCTTTGTCATCCTTTCTCGAGAAGTCTGGGGGTGCAGAGCGACACCAAGAGGAAGTTGCACACAAAGCGAGGCCTAACTTGCTAAGAGAATGGTCCTAACTTTCTTGGGACAAGTTCAGCATCCATACCGATCCCAAAAAGAGCCACTTCTTCATTCTCTGACATGTTTCCGATTTCCACCGGTGAATTGCAACCAGAATGAATCCGCCACCCAAAACTCAAAGGACCGACAAAAACAAAAAATGCCTTTTTTTCGGGTAACATCGCCCCAAAAATACAGGGTTCCAATTGTTGTTCGCTCGGCATGGACCAAGGACGGTCTCTCAGCCGTTGACCCCGCGGTTTCGCCGGATTTACCCCCATGGGTTGGTAAACCTCCGTCTGCTTTTTCGTCCCTGGAAAAAAGAACAACTTTCAAAAGTTGAAAACCTACCGTGGAGAATAGAAAAGATCTTCATCTGGCTCTCACCCCGAAATTGGTAGCTTAAAGGGGAACAAAAAGCGGAGAAGAAAAAAGGATGCCCCTTTTTTCGGGAAAAATCGAACCCCAAAAGTGACCCTCACCCCCCGAGAAACGGTCATATCATGCCCCCTGCTCGCTGCAGGCGGCGAGAGGCATCACGCCCCCACGCCTCGGACTCGGACCCGGACTCCGAGGCGGACTCGGAGTCCGACTCCTGGGGCCGGCCCCGGGGGGACTTCTCGTCGAACATTTGGGGTTTGGTGCCCGGGAGTGTCTCCTTTTGGATTCCCTCAAGAACCAAGACAACCGAAAAATCGAAAAAGGAAAAAGGTTCCTTTTTTTGGTTCCCCTTTTTTTTTTTGGGTGCCCAACGCGGGTTCCCTCAAGGGAAGATGGACATGAGGTGGGTGTCTCTCTTTTTGTTGTGGCTACCCTTTTTGGTTTGAAAGGGAAACGAAAGGAAACTGACTGCCCCATTTTGGAGGTCCTTTGAGACACAACCCAACCTTCCTTCTGGTGTCCCTTTCAACGTAGTCGGCTGGAACTTGTGCAGTGCCGGAACTGGACCCGCAAAGGGGGTTGCGTGGCCACAAACCCTGGCGACAGAGGGTTTCAAGCAACCCGGAAGGTGAGGCAAATGGGTATGGGTCAAAACCAATGGTACCATTTTGGGATAGGTGAATGCACCACCCATTTTAGAACCTATTTTAGTGGGGATTGGGATGTTCACTGAGGGTACGGGGTTTTGACCCATGGCCAAATGGTCAAATAGAGCAACCCAAAAAAGAACCCTGGCAAATGGAGCCAAAGACTCAAGCCTGCTGTCCCCGTGGTTCAATTTCGACCCATACCCAAATGAGCTTCAAACGCTTTCCGAGCCCCAAAAACCCAGGGAATGGACCATGGGTCGCAAAAATGTCGGGAAAGTCAACGGTCACATAGACATGGGATCCAAACATGAAACCCAGCGGGGCAGGTATCGTCCAAGCTTGCAAGCTTGCACACCTTGAAGCCCGCGCCAAAGGGCGCGCCAAAAAAAATAAAGGATCCACCGATCCTGGCAAGTCCTGCTCTTCCCTTGGTATAGGCTCTTTCTTCAAGCCGCCAATGAGAACTTGAAAAGAACCAGAAGATCACAGCTCCGATTGCGGATGCCTTTTTTCTGCTGGGAAACTGATTGGCATACTGCAAATGAAATCTAGAACAACTTCTGCGGCACATATACCTCCTCCGCAAAAAGTTTCACAGCAACAACCCGGGCCTTAAGAGCAGCTTCTTCGGAGGGGGTTCACACAGGCATGTCAAAATAGACAGCTCAAATGGTACCATTCGGGCAAAGTCTAAGCTTGATTGAAACGAGCTATTTCGCCTATGACGCTTGGCTCCATTCGATAGGCTGATTGAGGCCAAGTGAGGCCGAAACGGTGGCGCTGTGTTGCATTCGCGGCCTTCGACCTGCAGTTGTTAGATATTCGACTGTTCTAGTTGCTGGTGCTCCGGGAATGACCTTCCGGGTGCTGAGCAACCCATGGGCCCGGCTCCCCAAAACGCCCAGGACGGCGCCCGACAACCGAAGTCTCCCCTCCCACGCCTCCGTCCCTTTGAACTCCCAAGACCAGTCTACCACTTGCCAGATGGAGCCCGATCGCAACGCGAGGCTTTCAATGGCAAGAAGAAATCAACCCTTCAGCCCCTACGACCCGGGGGCTATGGGCTAGGGGCTATCCCTTATTAACCCCTGAGTAAAGTCGAACATTCAGGGCTTCTCCACTTGGCCTTTCCCAGGCTCCAGGGAACCCCCCCAAAAAAAAAAGAGGTCCATGAGCTATGAAAGCCATACCCTTCCTCAGTCTTGCAGGAGGGTACCTGGAAGATAAATGGCCATGGGTCAAAACCCAAATCGTTCCGTGCCCCCCAGGGAAAACCTCCGATTCAATCCAACCACTAAAACAGGTCCTAAAATTTGGGTGGTGAATTCACCTATCCAAAACGGTTTTGACCACCACAGCCATATCTTTATTGGTTTTGACAACCATCCCAGAATGGCACCATTGGTTCTAAACCATGGCCAAATTTCCTCTTTTTAAGGGACCCTCTGTGAGGTGCCTCTTCGTCCTCCTCCTCATCCTCCTCGCTGGCATCCTCCTCGCTTATGGCATGACTCCATGACGCAGGACCTAAAATGGTCCGCAAAAATCCTGGAGCAACCCATGCTCATAGGTGGCCTTTTGGAGAGAATAGATGGGTTTCCCTGGTCAATGGGGCAGAAACCAACCATCTAAACCAGGGCTTTTGTATTTTTTTAGCAAACCACCCAAAAAGGACACCTATGCCCATGCTTCAAGAAGGAGAACGGCGGCGAAGGCGCCCATTTATGCCAGGGGATTGTCCTGTACTCATCTTCATCTACCCGGGTTTTGAGTGTGACTCACTTGTCTCCCAGGCTTTCCCTCAACCCCTTTCAACTCCCCGATAAACCGCAGCTCAATCCCGGCGTCAATGCTCTGATCCCATTCGGGCGCTCCAGATGTTGGAGGCATGCCGTGTCCTTTTTTGTCGACGCCCCCGACCAAAAAAAAAGGATCTCGGACTTTTGTTTTTGGGTGTCCCTCTAAAGCCAACCAAAAAAAGTACCAGCCCCCCAAAAAAAAGGGGACGCAAAAAAGTATCAGCTCCAAAAAAAGTATCAGCTCCAAAAAAAAAACCTTTTCTGACCCAGGGGACGCGCCGTGAAAGAAGGGCCGTGGCTCGGTGTGCCATCTGCTTGGAAACCCTGGGACCTGCAACCCGAGGTTGGGCAAAAAATTCACGCGGGGCCCAAATTGACGGTCCAAAGGAGAGTGAAGGAGTGTTAGATGGGGCCATGTCAACTGCCGGGGAGTACCTGCAGTTCAGCAAACCCATCCTACAAAACTCTCTTGAGGGACAATGTTGCTCTCGCTTTCGAGCATCGAGCACGCCCCTATGAGGATCATTTCGGTGCGGAAATCTCCCGACACCGAAAAACGGCGCGGCTTCTTCGCTAAAGGGGGGCACCCACAAAAAAAAAAAACAGGCAACTTCCCTTCCTTTAAAGATAGCTCACTCTCTCCGGAAGCCTCCCAGAACCTCGTTTCCTAGCTGTCGCTGGAGAGAAAAACCGCCAAAAACCCACCCCCGGAAAAAATAGAAACCTCAAAAAACCTCAAGAAAAAAAACACGCAAAAACATCCAAAACCCCCCCACCCCGGGAACCCGTCCCCCCCCCCCCCAACCGTGCGAGTCCTCCTCCTCCTCAGCCTTTTTCGCCGAGGCCTCTGCGAAGGCGGCGGGCGGCGCTGCTTTCCGATTTCTCGGGCAACGCTCCGAGTAAACTGCCAGAGTCGTCAAAATGCCCCGAACATGGTGGCGTCTCCCACGTGGCTTGTTTCTGTGTTGCTTTTTTGCTTCTTTTTTTTTAAATCCAAGCTAAAAAGAGTACCGAGGCCTCGAAGCACACACCCAAACTACGCCCTCCGAAATTGAGGACACCTTCCTCCCCGGGCCCGGAAGCACTTACTTTACCCCGCCATGGCTTCGCCAAAAAAGAAACGGAAGGTGTCCCTTTGGTGCACCTTTAAACAACCAGCCAAAAAGGGGACCCTCGAAGGAAAAAACACATGGTAGACATAAGTGACATTGGGTGCACAGACGAAGCGCCGCGAAGCATGCGGATGCTGGCCAAATTGTCACGTCATAGATGTGGTTGTACATATGGATCTTCTTTGGGAGAAACAGAGGGGTATGAGGGGGTCTTGGATGAACAGAGCCAAGTCGGACATCATGGTTCCCGCAATGGGAACCCTTTGCAGGCCCTAAAGCTTCCAGTTACCATTCTAGTAGGCAACCTGTGCAAACCAGCATGTAAAACCTCGAGATACAGAACCCTGGTTACCTCCTACTCACTTCCCAAGGGGATTGGCCACCAAAGTCCGGACTTGTTATTGCCACTAAAATAGTTTTGAGTGGGGCTATAGAGAACCCTCTTCGTGGGGTCCAAGTAGGTCTCATCAGTCAAACCCCCAAAATCAGTTCCAGAAGTGTCAGCATCCAAAACTCTTAGCAGATTGACCCTCTAGCTGTCGCTGTCCACTTGGGCACAATCACTCTCTTCAGGTGCCACTACAAACGAACTTGAGTGTTCAAGTAACTTCGTAACAGCCATGGTTCTAACTTGTCAAGCTACTAAGTAGGCGCCAGCCATGGTTATAACTTTCAACTGGTGTAACTGGGACCCGTGGTCGTCCCTTATCATGGTGATAGCCTGCTTCAGCTTCACCCACTGCGTGCCAGGCATCCAGATTTCTCTCCCCGCCTTGGAGCTCTTGCTGCTCTTCTTCTTTTCCTCCTCTTCCTCCTGGTTGAAACTAAGCGGAGGCTGCGGTTTGCTTTCAGGTGAAGTAGCCGGGTTTTTTTACATGGGCACGAGTTTTGGGGGAGTGGGGGGGGGGGGGGGTACTTTTTTGACACATGCCCCCAAAAAGAGTCCCCATGAGGAGCCTGCCTGGAATCCTACCGCAATCTGCCCGCCAAACTCGTTTTGACCCACAGCTGTCGCTGTTGGAAAAAAAGGTCTGCTCAACCACTGGGGCAAGTTCGCCAAACGAATGCATTTGGGTCTCTCTTTTTGGTGGGAAAGAGAGGGCAAACAGGTTTATGTTTTAAAGGGAAACCAAAAAGGAAACTAAACAAACAGACCCATTTGGCCTTTTATGCCCTTGCAATGGCGGCACGGCCGCTGCCTGCTGATTGGAGATCTCTATCCCAACAAGCTGACCCGGCTCTCCTCCTCCTTCTCTGTGGGGCTCTCCTCATCCTCGTCCTACCAAAGGGTTTGTTTGGCGTGTCAGCCCGCCCCAGGACCCCCAGCCCCTGCTTCTCTCACGTAACCAATTTGAGGAGAGGCTTGCATGATCTCAGTTGTTCACAACCTTTTGGGTTTCCCCTTTTGGTCCACTTTGTGTAAAGGTTTCAAACAATTAACCTGTTAATTCTGCGTCCTTTGGGCAAGAAAGCCCCGCACTCCCAACACGTGAAGAAACTCTAAAAAAGGCACATGGGCAGGGCAGACGCTTTTTGGAGGAGCCTCCATTTGTGGGACCCCCTGTTCAGCTTCCGTGTTAATTTGCTGGGAAATAGGATACCCACAGAAGTGCCAAAGGCTTTCAGACCAGGCTTGAGATGTACAGCCACTGAACGGCTCTGCACCCACGTTGCCATGGAACCTGAACGGAGGTTTTTGGGTTTGAATCCTTTTCCAAAGGGGCGTGGGGAGGCTAGTCACTCTCGTGGCGTCCATCGCCCCCACCTAGAACCAGGGATCAACATTTCGCGGAAGGTGAAACCACTTTGCCCCGGCGAAAAAATGGCGAAATGATTGGGAAAGCCCAAAGGGCGAAGGGGTTCGTTCCTGGAACCCCAACTCATTGCCTTAAAAGGGGAACCACCCCCTGATTAGCGAAGCGGTGCTCCAGATTGGGTTTTGGCTTTATAACACGCCTGTGGTGGATGCAGGGCGCCCGTTCGGGAGCAAACGAAAAAACTCACTTGAGCGGATTGAACAAAGGAGTCCCAACATTCTGTTTACAGTGGTCTTTCCAAAAAAGCATACGGTCCAGGAATTCGGGGAGCAAGGAAAAGGGCCAAAGGGCAGTGAAGTCTGGCAGTGTCTCGACTGGGCCTTGTCATCATCCTTCGTCTCTGCTTCCTTCTCCTCCTCCTTTTCCTCCTCCTCCTTCGATCGCAACGATTTCACGTGAGTATGGTGATGTGGCTGTGGCTCAAATAAATGTACCAAAATGGCACCTTGCTAAATGGAACAAAAGACTAAAACCGCGTATCCCTAGCTCTTGAATTTTGAGCCACCGTTGATGTGGGGTTCATTCCCAACAGGGGTCATTCCCTATCGCCTTATAAACCATCTTCAACTGATGTCGAAAAAAAAAAAAAGGGGAAGTCTTCAACTGATGTCAACCGATGTCTTCAACTGGTTCCTTTTTCAAAAAAAAGAAAACCCGTGAGGTCAAGAAAAGAAAAAGAGAAAGCTTCACGTGGGCCAACTTCTTTATGGGGCGCAAGATCCAGTTGGGAGGGCCGGAGGGGAGGGGAGGCGGGGGTCTGACAGACTTCATAGGAGCTTGGGCCAAAATCGGCGATTTGTTTGTCAATGGAACGGAAAACAACGGGGGGTCACCTGGTGTGTTTGTGTTTTGTGTTTTGTGTTTGCGTTTTGTGTGTGTTTGTGTTTGTGTTTCTGTTTGTGTGTTTGTTTGTGTGAGTATGTGTGTGTGTGTTGGTAATTTAGTGAGTCTCCAAACAGGACTCCCTATATTTCCCGTTTTGACCTTTTAAACCATGTGTAGATGGGAGGCAGCCTTTCTCAGCCCAGCCACGCCCAGCCACGCCCACTCAGGCCTTCAGGCCTTCAGGAGTTCAGGAGTTCAGGAGTCAACCGCCATAGCCCAAATGCCGCAAACTGCGACCCAATGGCTCCAGACCCTTCAAATGAGGGCTGGTGTAAAGGAGCAACAAACAGGAGGCCGCACATTTTGGGGGGCCCCGCATTTTCAAACAGACCCCTCAGCTGCTTTTTGTTCCCTTGTGAATTGAACCGGGCCCAAGGTTGCAGGCGGAGTTCATCGCACATGGGTTTCCTTGGGAAAGGGAAAAGGCACTGCCACGCAATCTAACTGGCATCTTTCGCCCAAAAGGGAGTGGTTTCAACCAGTACATTGCCCCATGTGGTACTGATTCAATAACTATTACAAGTAGACCCTCCACCGTCGCTGTAGAAAGCAGGCGGTCGACTTGTTCCAACTTGATATTTCGTTGGAATCCACTCCGAGAACCGAGATGCGCCCAACAAAATCCCTCCGAACCCCGTCCTCTTCCTCTTCACTATCCTCCTCCTCGACCTACGCTTGCAGCTTCAGCCCAATTCACGCGTGGTGTGTGTGTGTGTGTGGTGGGTGGTGGGTGGTGGGTGGTGGGGGTGTGGTGGGGGTGTGGTGGGGGTGTGGTGGGGGTGTGGTGTGGCAGGCCCGAAAAGACCATTCTGGGACCCCAGCTAGGGGGGCTTGACAACCTCGAGAAACCAGGGTTGGGGGGAAATTGGCACGTGCCTTTACCGCACAGCGAATCCCTTTTCAAAGGCGAAATTTGGGTGTTGGGATCGAAACGAAGAGCACCCAAGGAGCCCAGTAACAAAACAAACCGAGCAGAGGAAAAGCGGGGTTTGGCTCTATCTGCGGGCTTGCCAAAATGGTGTTGGGAAACAAATCTGAGGTTCCAGGATCCCAAATCCAGTCGGAAACCCAGGCTGGCTCGGGAGTAAGCAGCTGCATGAAGAGTTCACCTGTGAAGGATGTGTCTGTCTAAAGATATATGCAGTCCAAGACCTGGAACAAGCATGGACTAGCATTCAAACCTGGAACCTTGCCTGTTGGTTCTACTGTCTAGGGTTTATAGCGGCCTTACTACACTCCTGCTTCCAGGTGAGAAACCGCCTACTAGAAAGTGGCCAATTGGAGCTTTGGGCGCTGCTCAATTGGATCTCCAAGGACAACATGGCTGTGGGTCAAAACCAATGAGATCCCATTTTGGGGTAGGTGCACCAGCCATTTTAGAACCTATTTTAGTGGTTGGATTGGCATGTTCACTGGGGGTACGGGATTTTGACCCATGGCCACATCCTTGTTGTTCGTGCCCGAAGCTGCCACCATAGCAAAGCATTCCGAGGAAGCAGCGGGTGTTCGTCCACGCGGCACCCCGCAACAGCCAGAGGCACGTGCTCGGCTGGCGCGTTTGCATACGCCTTGCCGTCGGTCTGCAAGAACATGCGGAGCCAAGCATGCGCAATCGACCTCAGCGCGTCCTGCTCCGCCAAATCAAAGCAGCACTCGCGTCGCAAGCACCAAATCGTAAACTATGCAATACTGCCTGAGCATGCGCGTAGGCAGATGTTCACTGCTCAATCTTCTAGAAACTCCGCTCAAAACAAAGACTCTTACAGCAATGGCCAAGGCAGGGAGTTTCACAGTATGATGCCAGCGTTTATGTAGACAGACCTGTGTCACCCTTTGGTGCTTCATATTTAGTCCTTTGCAGCATGCCACTTACTGGCTATTGCTCCCATAGAAACAAGCGTTCAACCTGCTGCTTCGTTTCTTGTCCGCCACGTGCGAAGTTGGCTCCCCTCTTTCTTGGTCAACTGTTGGCTGCTAAGGGGAAAATGCGAGGAAATCCTGACAGGCAAAAGGGGCAAACATTTCAGATTTCACAATCCTTGCAACGTCCTCGTCGACGAATTTCGGGACATGTACCCAATATGATCAGGTATGATGCACCTTGATTGGCGGATACAAACGTGAGAGTCGCGGCAATCAGGGAAAAGACCCCCCAAACCACTCGAGACACCATCCGGATTTTGCCCCCAAGGGGGCAAAAGGGCAAACTGGAGAGCTCAGTCTGGCAATGCACAAACAGGTGCTTCTCTAAATAGTGATGCCCTAAGGCAGTTGGTTTCCTTTTACATGATTAGACTTAGGCCGAGTTATAGAATGTATATTCTATTGTGTGCTTCCCTTTGAGTCACTGGTAAAATGTAAAATGTATCTTAAGTCTACCCCAGATTTCAGCTCCCGTTCAATTTCTCACATGCGAAAGCTCGCCTTGTCGGTCTCGCCGCTCGCCTCTTCTTCCTCCTCGATGGCTTGGTCGCTTGCTGGAAGGGAAAACATTTGGTCCCTGGTAACGGGAAACCAAAGAAAACCAAGTCAAGACTCGAGTTTGCGGTGTTGATCCTTTAGAGGCTTGGAGTCACCCTCACACCCAACGAGGATTCCAACTATCCTCAAACCAATCATCTGCAATTGGCGCGTATGACCCTATGATGGGTTTTTCATGGGGGTGTGTCCAAAGAGCCCGATCTCGTTGAAGTTTCATTAGGTTCCCTTTGGATTCTCCGCAAAGCATCCTCAAAATGAGTACCGCCGCAAAGAAAAACACACCCATGTGTATAAGCCTTCTGGTTAGGAGAAAAGGGCTGCCCTGAGCAAGCTCAAGACGGGCCTAATCTCAAAAAATAGACCTTGGTCACTGCGTCTCCTTTTCAGCAGCACTGAACAGCGGTCAGAGGGACATTGGGCTAAAAACATCCCGCATTGCGCGGGAATCATAACATTAACTCTTCTTTTGTTGCCCGGCCGGCCTTTTTCCACATATATCCCAGCCATCCAATGACAACTGCTTTATGTTTGCTTTCCTTCTAAGCGAAAGGAGTCCTTCTGGGAGCCCTATTTTTGCGGGCGGCCCGTTCAACGGGAAGGATCTCAATTCTTTTGTCACCGGCGCCACTGCCCAATGGTTGCCTAGAGGGGGATACCCTTTCATGAGGAGCTATCAAACAGCCGAAGGCAAATTTTCCGTGGTGAAGGTCAAGGCCGAAGAGGTGAAAAGGCTCAATGTCAAACACAATATGTCCTTTTTCAAGAGTTGAACAATTTTCGGACCCCTGGGGTCTACGGGGGGGGGGGCTATCCCTGCACAAGCCAAGGATAAGCCCTTAGCAAGGCCTGAGGCCCCGTTTTCAGAAGGGAGTTTGGACAACGCCACGGGGGGGAGGAAGGGGCGGGGGCTCGGAGCCCAAAGCCCTGATTCAGCCCTTGCCCCATTCTGGGCTTGTTTGAGCCCCCCCGCCCAACACCAAGTGTTACCACTGCTGAGGGTCCAACAAGGCCAATCCTTCCCCCCCCCCTTCCCGGTCACCTGTACAGCCGAGGCCGGCGTCAGGACCGCCTTCTTCTGCTTCTCCTGGCGAATGACATATGGGTGCAGCTCCAAAAAAGTACCGAAAATGGGTTGCCCTGGAAACAAGGACTACCTGCGGTCCACCAGGACTGGTGACTAACTGTCATATCCATATCGACCAGCTGTGTCTGCGTCTCTGTGCATGCATCTATGCACTTTGGATACATCCGCCAGCTTAGACACATCACCAGATTTAAATGTGGTTTACTCATTTGTTTATTTATTTGTGTATTTGTTTATGTATCTATGTGTTTATTCATTCATTGATTTATCTGGCTATTGATTTATTTAGTTGTTTATTTAGTTAATTAATTTCTGTAGTGATTTATCTATTTATCTACTCATCTATTTATCTATTTGTTTATTCATTCATGTGTTTGTGTATTTATGTGTGTGTATTGATTTATTTATTGTACTATCCATTTACTTATTTGTACGGCTTATTTATTTATTTACATATTTGTTTATGTATTTACGTATTGGTTATCTATTTATGTATCATGGCAGTCTTCATTTATTTATGTATTTATTTACTTATTGTTGTATCTATGTATTTATTTATGTTGTTTCATTTTATTGATTAATTTATGTATATATGTGTTTGCTTACTTGTGTATTGAGTCATTCATTCATTCATTCATTCATTCATTCATTAATTCATTCATTCATTCATCCATTCATTCATTCATTCATTCGTTCGTTCATTCATTCATTCATTCATTCATTCATTCATTCATTCATTCATTCATTCATTCATTCATTCATTCATTCATTCATTCATTCATTCATGCATGCATGCATTCATTGATTCATTCATTCATTCATTCATTTCATTGATTCATTTCATTCATTCATTCATTCATTCATTCATTCATTCATTCATTCATGCATTCATTCATTCATTCATTCATTCATTCATTCATTCATTCAGTCATTCAGTCATTCATTCCATTCCATTCCATTCCATTCCATTCCATTCCATTCCATTCCATTCCATTCCATTCCATTCCATTCCATTCCATTCCATTCCATTCCATTCCATTCCATTCCATTCCATTCATTCCATTCCATTCCATTCCATTTCCATTCCATTCCATTCCATTCCATTCCATTCCATTCCATTCCATTCCATTCCATTCCATTCCATTCCATTCCATTCCATTCCATTCCATTCCATTCCATTCCATTCCATTCCATTCCATTCCATTCCATTCCATTCCATTCCATTCATTCATTCATTCATTCATTCATTCATTCATTCATTCATTCATTCATTCATTCATTCATTCATTCATTCATTCATTCATTCATTCATTCATTCATTCATTCATTCATTCATTCATTCATTCATTCATTCATTCATTCATTCATTCATTCATTCATTCATTCATTCATTCATTCATTCATTCATTCATTCATTCATTCATTCATTCATTCATTCATTCATTCATTCATTCATTCATTCATTCATTCATTCATTCATTCATTCATTCATTCATTCATTCATTCATTCATTCATTCATTCATTCATTCATTCATTCATTCATTCATTCATTCATTCATTCATTCATTCATTCATATTTTCATTTCATTCATTTCATTCATTTTTCATTGTTTCATTCTTTCATTCATTCATGCATTCATTTATTTCATTTCATTCATTCATTCATTTATTTACTTATTGATTTATCATTTTGTATTTATTGATTTATTTATTTATTTATTTATTTTACTTTTTTATTTATGATAAACGTATGCGAGCATGCCGAGAGATCCACAAAACTCTCAGAACCAAGCCGGTTCTAAACGAAAGAACCGAAGAGCAAGTCCAAAACCTCGAATAAAAGCAGGCCAACTGCAAGATGCCCAGAAGAACGGAGGGAAAAAGGGAAACCTGCCAGTTTATAGGGGGCTCCCTTGTGGGGGCCATGTTTTTTTTTTTTTAACCAATTTTGGTTTAGTTGTTTGCGCAGCCAAATGGAAAACCGATGCCATTTTTGGGCCCTGAACCCTTTGGCCGCGGGCTGCCTTCTCAGCATCCTCCTTCTCCTTCTTCTCCTCGCTCGCGCTCGAAGCCCGTTCGAAAATGATCGAACGTGTCGCAGCCGTCGGCCAAACAGGTCCGAGCCCGTGCAACAAGTGAAGACGCGTTGCTGGTTGAAAGTGAAAATCAAAGAAACCCAGTTGAGTCTGGCAATGCTCTGCAAATACCAAACCACAAGCAAAGGGAATTGTAGGCAAAACCTGGCCATCTTTTGCCTGGAGTTCCCCTCTCCGGGGAAGGCCAAGTGTCCACCCGAATCCGTGCGTGGAACCGTGGACCATGGACATCCCTTGCAGAACATAGCATAAAAAACCACAACTCTGTGGCGGATTGCAACAAGATGGAAAATTGCACAATTCCCGGTTGTGAGTAAGTACAGGTGACCAAGCCCAACTGGACCATGTACTCTCACCCCAAAGTTCGCAAATCGGACGTGAGCAATCCCAAGCAAGGGACTGTCTTCATGGCTGGAATCGCGCGCTTTACCCCCCGGATCGGTGACCCTTGCAACGATTTTGCCCAGGCGACTTCCACGCCGCTTCCTTTTCGCTTGAGTTAACTCCAAAACGAAATCGATGCCCCAAAAAAAAAACGGGACACCTACCCGGGTTGCGGGCTCCAATTCTGTGCGAGGTCTCACGATTCGGCGAAGACATGGCCAAGAATTTCTGGTGCCAACGACCCTTCGGTACAAAAGGAAATGGCTCGCCATTTGTTTGTGAGTCAAAAACCCCACAAACAAGGGGGATCTGTCTCGAAAACCTTCTGTCTCGAAAACCTCCTTTCTCCGGCCATATAGCCTTCACAACTGGGTAGGCTTCATCTTGGGCGGTTCCCACGGTTTCGTGCAGCCAAAGAAGGATTTGGGCAGCATCCACTGAGCTGCAAAGCAACCTCCAACCACGAAACCCGGCACACGACACTCTATACGACCCGGAAAAATACCTCCTAAAACTGTTGTGCGCCGTTTTCTTACTCCAACCTTCCTCGACATGAATTTTCTTAGGGTCGCTGACGCGGCGTGTGCCCAGTTCTTAGTCTCTACCTGCGGTTGGGCGGTCGCAGATTACTCGGTTTGTGTGGCATTTGAGGGTCGCACAAAAAATGGCCGGTGCCACAAATCCCTGGGCCCCAACAATATGTTTGACCAACCCTCAAAACGTTGTTTCTTGGGTTCTCCGACATATTTTCGAAGAACCCCTCAAGAGAGCTCCGACCCGGCCCGCGTTTCAGTCGCGAGGTCGCATTTGCAGATTGCCATGCGGCTGCGAAGAAGCGGGCTGATGCTTGCGAGTCATTGTTGCCAGGCATGACAAGCGGGCAATCACGTGGCAGCGTGGAAGTCAAGAGCGAGCTCTAGCCAAGCGATGCCATGGTCGTTGTTGGCCCTCTGTAGACCACTGCAGTTGCCGCCACCAAGCCAGTGCCGCGAAGATGTCGACGCAATTCGCCATTCACATACAGGCTTATGCACCCAGTTGCTGACTGTGTTTCCTAATTGGGCGGGACTGTCAAAGTGTCATGGGCCCAGGAAACGCTGTTCCTTGGTCTGGGCGCGGGTGTCTCTTTTTTGGGGACCCCTTCCCCCCCGCCGGCCCCCCCCCCAAAAAACGAATCACCAAAAAAGACTGGCGAGTGTCCCTTTGGTTGTCCTTAAAATCAGCACCAAAAAGGGGCACTTCGAAAAACAACGCCAGACCCATGCGGTTCAGAGAAGAAGAAAAAAATAAGGATAAACAAAAAGAAGGGAAAAAAAAGGAGAACACAAAACTCCGAAGTGCGCCTCGCGCTTCGCAAAAAAAAGGGGGCGCCTTGTCCGCCTTCTCGGACTTCGCCGGCTCCTTCCTGGAGCCGGAACCACGGGGCTCCCGAGAGAACTCACACCCGAGCAGCACAAGGCAACTACCGAGGTCCAGCGAGTCACGCCTTTTCTGACCGATGGATGGGAAAAGGCAAACATATGAGTCACTTGCTCAAAAAATTATTTGTATTAAAATGGTCGACCTAGAACCATGTAAGGAAATACAAAGGCGGCCGCTGGTTCTGGCTGGGATTGTCCCTTACCAACCTTCATCTACCCAGGTTTTGATTGCGGCTCATATGTTTCTAGGTCCTCCAGAGAGGTTAGAATAAGAGTACCAACTTTTTCCTGTATATCTTAGTAGGGGAAGCCTCCAACCAAAAAGGGTGAAAGGGCACTGGGGGACCTAGATTTATGTGGAGGGGTGACTGAAAAACCGATGATGGATTACATGATTTATGGGAAGCAGATAGATCAAATGAAAACATACGCTGGTGGCTTTGGAAAGGGGGGGCAATGATGATTGATAGACAGCGCACACACGCGCACACACACACCGAGGAGGAGGAGACGTCCAGTTCAACAAGGCGGGCAAGGTTGCCACTAAAACAAGTGGCATTCTTTTCCAGGGTGGCTTGTTGATTCCCAGTTGCCTAAATAGCAGGTCACCCTCTTGTTGTTCGCGGTTTCACCTACAGTGGAAAGTGGACGTACTCGATTTTCGGTTGAAACCAAAAAAAACGCCGCCATCCTCTTAAAAGCCGAGGCTTGTCGGAGCGATCGGTCGAGGTGTCGGACCCTCCCATCGACCCTTTCTGGGATTCAAGTCACAACACTTCTGGACCCAACAAGGTTGGCCATGGATGTGCTCTACACCAAGGGAACTACCCTTACACTCCTGCAGGAAAAACAAAGCATTTACAGAAGGTGCCGCCTCTGATTCTCTCTCATGTTATTCTCTCCCTCTCTCTCTCTCCTTCTCTCTCTCTCTCTCTCTCTCTCTCTCTCTCTCTCTCTCTTTCTGTGTCTCAACCTCAAATGGAACAGGTCCAGCTCTTTCGCAGTTGAACCCAGACCACGAGTAGCTGCGGAAAAAACGTGCGTGGTTCATTTTGAAAGGAAAGCCTCCAAACAAGGCAGCGATAAAAGGCCATTGCTCGGAGTCTGGGATCTGGTGCTCTTTGCCACTTAGCTCCTCAGCCAGGGCCGGCCCTGTCTCTTCTGGTAAGCTCCGCAAGCAAGGCAAGGGCCCTGCATGGCAAGAACAACCGGACCCACTTAGATGGTCTAAGAACAAAATCCAGGAAACTGGCAACCATGGCGATTCCCAGTGGTTGACAACCATGATTGCGAAAAACCACTTAGCCTCCCAGAGCATCTAAGCAGGCGTTTGGAAAAATAGATGGCGCAGGTACATGAAATTGAAACCAGTGCCATATCCGCTTTGAACCAAAGTGATCTGAAAAAAACACCTGCGGAGGTTCCACGCTCCAGATTGAAAAAAAAACTTCGCAAGAGAGTGGCCCCATTTTCCAAAAAGAAAAAAACATGGGCTCACCGGAAAAGTTGGGGGTTTAAATGGTGCTTCTGGTCCTCCTCTTACCTCACCATTCGTACGGATGGGACTGGGGGCTGCCAACCATCGAGCCCTTGGGTTTGGCCTCAGGCAACCCCGGAGCCAAAGAACCATGTAATGAACTAAGGCGGAGAATTCCGCAGCTCTTCTAATGCTTGGGACGATTTATGATTTTGTGGCTAACCTTCATCTATCCGGGTTTTCATGGTGCTGTCATTTGGCCTATTGGGTCTTAACAAGGCTTCTTCACCCCGAAAAGCCCTCGAGGAAGAAAAGTCGGTTGCAAGCGATACTGCGCAGCCGGTTCCCCCGCCTCTTTTTCTCTGCCTTCTCTTCCGCCTCTCTTGGCGTCGGCTCGGTTCATCGTTCCAACAAGTAGAACGGTGATTCTCCACATACAGCTACCGGTACCCTAAAAGGGTTTCGCTTCGAAGACCCATCAAAAGGGGGTCTACCATTTTTTGAAATGCCCAACTGGTCGTCAATTGGATGAGGGGCCCCTTCCCTTTAACGTGGGAACTGTTTCTGGAGGTTATCAAAGTCAGAAACTGGAATTAGTAGTTTCCCTCTACCCTGCCACTTGGGGGAGACTTTTGACGTTGGTCAAATAATGAGGCTAGTGCAAAGTACTAGAATTCATGAGGTGGACATTTGGAATCCGTCACTTAGGGGCCTTCGTCAGGATTGGTGCCGACCTGCGATATTTTTCTCGCAACGGGCGCCTGCCAAATTGGCGGTATAGTTCTATTCAAAGGCAATCCACCGAGACATGACTCACGTTCCTGCGGAGGTGTCCCTCCACTTCGAAATGGGTACGCAAACCTTCCGCTTTGTATCGGTAAAGGCAAAGTAATTAAGCAAAACCCATTTTCAAGGCAAAGGACGATCAATTCCGGTCAAGCCTTTTCCAAAAAGTCGGCAACAGTTGAGCGCCATTTGTTCGACAACTGGGCAACACTATGTGGGAAAACGTCCGGGTTGCCAGACCCCAATGATCATGGGTAACTTTTCTTGTGTAGTGGTGAAAGTCATCTGATTATTTTTTTTGGTTGCCCCTGCTGGCCATCCCATGTATCACGGACCTTTTGATCAACCCCCATGTAAAAGGCGGATCATGTGCCCCTTCAAAGGGAAGAGCTAGGCTTCAGAGTACCTTCCCGGTCCAACCTGGAACCCACCACAGGGCTTGAGCAAAATTGCCCCAACCACAGCCAGGAGCCTGCAAAAAGCGAGTCAAGTTGGTGGACGAGCGGGTGAGAGGGCTCCTCAGAATCACAACTCTCACCGATCACCACCTTTAGACCTATCAGACCAATCTAGTCAACCGCGTGCCGTGCACACACACACACACACACACACACAGACACACACACACAGACACAGACACAGACACAGACACAGACACAGACACAGACACAGACACAGACACAGACACACACACACACACACACACACACACACACACACACACACACACACACACACACACACACACACACACACACACAAACCAACACTGGGTCTTGGTGCAAAAGAAAAACAAGCAAGCAAGCAAGCAAACAAACAAACAAACAAGCAAACAAGCAAGCAAACAAACAAACAAACAAACAAACAGTGAAAACCAACAAGGCCAACAGAACCAACAAACCAATGCCCAAAAAAAATCGCGCTTGGCGTTTCAATCCAGCGCTCTCCCGTCTCCTTGCCTTCGCGAGGCCGTGCTCCGCCTCGAAGGCTTTCAGCGCCTGCCGGCGGTCAAGTCTCCGAGGGTGCAAGGATTTCCGAAACCGGGTGGAGTCGGTTGCTTTCTGCTCCCCAAGCAGAAAAATATGACTTTTAGTGGCTTTAACGGGAAAAAAACCCTCCCCTGCTGAAAGTGTTTCACTTTTCGTGGTTTAATTCGGAAAACCCATTAGTGGTTTGAAAAGTTGAAGTCCTAACATCCAAGCAAAATGCCAAAATGCGCCAAAGGAGACTAGCCTTGGAAATGTTGTTGCCTGAGGCCAAATTCTTCCCCTAAACGTTGGGGGGGGTACTTTTTCTCGTTCTCGCGATGCTCACTGGCGAGCGCTCCCTGCTTTCTGGGAATAGGGGACGTTGAAGCACCTTCGAGTATGAGGGGAAGAACGCCGAATAAGCCTCTAAGGGGGAGCGGGGATTGCAGGGTCCCGAAGTCAACTGAAAGATTGTAGGGTCCTCGGGAGTCCGTGTCTAATATGGCTTGCCCCAAGTGTTGGGGGAGGGTCCCTAGTCAAGCCCGACAAAACCCTGAAAGGAATCCCTGAGCCCATCGTGGCTCAATGAGAAGCACCTTGCTTGAGGACATGGAACTGCGCCCTTCGGATATCCTTGATTCCCAGGGAAAAGAGAAAGCAAGCAGGAAACCTTTTGTCGTATGTACTTGGTTCCCCTACTTTACATTTGGGGAAAGAACCGAAACGGAGACCCGGGATTAAGAGACCTCTGCTTGGTTTTGATTGGGGGGTGTCCCATTGAAGTCCAAATCCTTCGCTTCATGTCAAAACATGCACTAAGATCCTCCAAAGTCCCCAAAAAAACAAAACTATTTCGAGTAGTAATAGATTCGCGTGAAAACCAAAAGGGGAAATAAACACATATTCTTACTGGCCTCATTATTTTACCAGAATCAAAGTCACCCCCTAAGTGGTGGGTTGAAGGAAAACAGCCCCATTTGCTGACTTTGACAACCCCTAGAAACCCCCCTAGAAACAATCAAAATAATGACCCCAGTCTTAAGCAAATGGAAGTTATCCGGGTGGATGGCATGGCCGACACCGACATGCCCCATCCCGA